TTTTTTTAAAATTGAATCAGCACCTAAGGTAACTGTGGTTCAAATATAAATCTGTAGAAACGAGCAGATTTCGAGAAACTTAAAAAATATGCTTCCAACCCTCAGTTGAACCCCTTGTCCCGGGTTGCTGGGGATGAAATATTTTTTTTTAAATTGAAGCAGCACCTAAGTGAACTGTGGTTCAAATATAAATCTGTAGAAACGAGCAGATTTCGAGAAATTTAAAAATAATTCAAAAAATATGCTTCCAACCCCCTAGTTGAACCCCTTTTCCCGGGTTGCTGGTGATGAAATATTTTTTTTAAAATTGAAGCAGCACCTAAGTTAACTGTGGTTCAAATATAAATCTGTAGAAACGAGCAGATTTCGAGAAATTTAAAAATAATTCAAAAAATATGCTTCCAACCCCCAGTTGAACCCCTTGTCCCGGGTTGCTGGGGATGAAATATTTTTTTAAAATTGAAGCAGCACCTAAGTCAACTGTGGTTCAAATATAAATCTGTAGAAACGAGCAGATTTGGAGAAACTTAAAAAAATATGCTTCCAACCCTCAGTTGAACCCCTTGTCCCGGGTTGCTGGGGATGAAATATTTTTTTTTAATTGAATCAGCACCCAAGTTAACTGTGGTTCAAATATAAATCTGTAGAAACGAGCAGATTTCGAGAAATTTAAAAATAATTCAAAAAATATGTTTCCAACCTCCAGTTGAACCCCTTGTCCCGGGTTGCTGGGGATGAAATATTTTTTCAAAATTGAATCAGCACCTAAGTTAACCGTGGTTCAAATATGAATCTTTTGAAACGAGCAAATTTTGAGATATTTTAAAAAACAAAATAACATTTAAAAAAATACCGTCTCGTATATGTACCCCTTGATATAATTTCCCCTAGAATATGGGTTTTTTTTGCTGATATGTAACTGTAGTAGAATTTTAGAAAACTAAGTCAAGTGAGGTAAAATACAATTTCTGTCGATTAAAATATGACCCGACGCCACTGGGCGTTCGGGTATCTTCGGAAAATTTGGCTACTATCTTTTGCCACCAACTTCACACCGGTCATGCAATTGTAGTTTCATCAAGGCCCTTATTTCTAGCCGTTCTTCTTATGGATTCATGTGAGGTGTTATCGAAGGCTCCCTCTATATAAATGAATGCACATAGAGTTTCTTGATTAGAGGGTGAATTTTCAATCTTAGTGACAAGACTGTGTAGGGCTGTCTCAGTTGATTTACCTAGCTGATAGGCAAATTGATTCTTTTATAGCGGGCTTTCTGATAGAAATTCACTGCTGATGTGAAGGTCAATGATTTTCCCCATGGTTTTCAGGAGAAAGGAGGTTAGGCTAATTGGTCTGAATGTATTAGGCTGTTGTGTAGGACGCCTACCAGCCTTTGAAATGAAGACCACTCACATCCCGCCAACTGTTGGGAATGTAGCCTAGGAGGTAGCTACCTTTGAACATTTTTGTTAGATATGATGCTAGTTCTTCCAGCCCTTGTTGTCAGAGGGCGGGAAAGATCCCATCTTTACCTGGTGGGGCTGGAAGCTGTTCATAGGCCATTTGATCTTATTTTCAGTGAATATTCTTCCGGCTAGGCATTTAGTGCGATTGGTCAGTCGCGGAACACCTTTTACCACCACAGCCCTTTTCCCATCAAGTTTCCACTCGATAGACTCTGGGAAGTGTGTTTGCAGAAGCAGTTCTACACTATCTAGTCTACTTTCGATATAGCTACCTTGAGATCTCTGAAGGAGCCTGATATCGTTTGAGTGATCTTTTGCTAGGATTTTCTGGAGGCGCATTATCTGAGGGACGTCGATCATCTCCTCGCAGAATCTCCTCCAGGATTCTCTTTTGGATCTTCTCAATTCTTATTTGTATTCTGTTGGGGCTTTTTTGTATTCGCTCCAGTCGTTGGTGCGTTTAGCCCTATTGAATAATTTTCTTGTCTCAGTCCTTAAGGAGCTAAGTGTCTTGTTCCACCAGGGCGTATTCCTCTTCACTACCCATTGCTTCACATGACAACTGTTACGTTGTAAATATGAGATACTTTATTTCGTTAGAGTAGAATTAGTTGGGGCATTTACAAACAAACAGTAGCTTATGAGACGTTTAACGTCCTCTGGAGGTGGATTTTTTCGTCGTCACCAGGGAAGTAATAAGTCGAGGCAACGACTACCTATTGCCTTCCTCCCAGCGTTGATACCTCTATTGCTCCAGCAACCAGATTTTTGGTGATGAATTCTGGGAAAGGAACAAAGTTGATTTTATTGTTGTCCAGTTGTTCGTGAGTGAATCTGCGGCTAAGCACATCGGATGCAGCTTTCGCGTGTTGCAGATTCACTTCTAGTTTTTTTGCCTCCTTTTTTTAAGGGTTTCTTCCCTATTGGGATTTAACCCTTTCCTTGGGGGAGGGAAAGGATTACCTGATCCAGCAGCAGAGCCAGGCTCTGAAGGTTTCCCCATATTGCCTGATGGGGCCTTCTTCTGGGAACTTCCTTCCCCCCCGATCTCAGAGCAGAGTCAGTTTGCTGAACCTTTCAGGTGTTCGTAGGACCCTTGGTCTACGGATAGGGTTAGAATGGCGAAGGACCCTTCGGCTATTCTGTTGAGAACTCTCCAGTCATCTGTGTTTAGCCCAGTGTTTTGGCCTTTTACTAGGCCAAGGATTTTGTTAGTCGGGCTCTCGGCACTGTTGGGGAAGTGACCCGCAAGGATTTGTGGGCGAGGAATTTTGGATTCCTCTATCGCCTTCAGGGTTTGGGGCCGCTACGGGTTCCCCTCTGGCATTTTTGGATTATCTGGCTGCTGCTCTGGAGTTGAGTCGTCGGATCGGATCCTTTTTTTGGCTCCTGCTTCCGGCCGCTCCTTTTGTTCAATTGGCTTTCTCGCCAACTGACGCGCTTCTTCGGCGGCGTGGTCTTGTCGCATTAGCCACTTGTAACGTTCTTTCGCAGCTCCGCTAAGTTCCTTTCCTTCAGCTTCAAGTAGGGATGCGCAAAATTTTGAAAACATCGATGTTGACATCAAATGATACATCGAATATGCACAATCGATGTTGTAAAACTATCGGCTTGAAAATATCGATGTTTCTAAACATCGATGTTTTTGAAAATATGGAAAAAAAATTAAACTGGTAATAAATAGAATATCATTTTTACTTAACCTACTTATGTATTTTTAATATAGGTAATATGGTAATATACATACACGTTATAAATATACGATTTATAATGAAGAAAAAGTACATTTGGAAGCAAACAATAGCAAGAACTAAGCACTAGGGAGTAAATCTAGTTAGATACTTGACTTAAATGATATGAATACGAGTAACAATCATATTTGAATCACAATTATTATCCAAGAAAAGCAATTTTGACTATTTTTTTCCTCTTCCATATAATTCTTGTGTTGTGTCAAAATTTGTCCTGCAATTGAAAATAGTCTCCCATATGGAACCGAAGCTGCTACATCGCTCAAGTATTTTGAAGCTATCTTTGATAGTCCCAGATATACACTCTTTATTTCTTCCCAATGTTCAACAAATAGATTTTCATCAAATTTTGCTAATGGACTGAAAGTACTGGTGTAGTATTTAGAAGAAAACATCGAAAAAATATCGATATTCGATAATATCGAATAAAAAAACATCGATATAAACATCGAACATCGAAATAAGAAAATCGATGTTTTTGAAACATCGATACATCGTGCTCATCCCTAGCTTCAAGTGATTAACTGACTTTGAAAGCGTCCTTGGAGATGGCGTCCTCACTTTCGCTCAAGAACGTCATTCACAGGCATAGTGGGGTTTTTTAGTGAGCCCCTTACCATGCCTGCTTCGGACGTGAAGTTGGAGACATTGCTGTCTCCTGGAGTTTTGAGGGCATTACTGTCCTCTGGTAGTTGAAGCATATTTCTATCCTCTGGGTGGTTTTTATTTTCAGGTTCCATATTTGTTCTCACGAATAATAAGGGAGTTAATATTTGCCTGCAGCAGAGCCCTATACTGCAGGGGGCGTATTTAAACCTGGAGATTGCCTGATCCCCGGAGTTCGCTAACTAGTGGCCAAGCTACCCCTTGGTCATGCAGTCGTCGGCGCTTGGTGTTCCACTTTGACTTGGGGAGATTATTTATTGTGGCTCTCGTACCACTTAGTCCGGGCGGTTAAGCCAAGACTCTCCGCATGGATGTCTGCGAGACCACGATCAGCATCGATGCTGGTATATCAGTTTGAGGGCAATTGAGGTTGCCCATCAAACTGGCATCGTTTTAGTGTTTCCTCCAGTGCAGGCCCTTAACCACGACACGACAGTTGGGCTGAGCATGAGTCATCCTAAGCTTCACCCGCTATCCACGATCCATTGAGAAGGATCGGGATCAGTAGATTACTAAGCCCCCTTACGAGCGACAACGTCCCATGACTCCACAAGGGGGTCAGAACCTATGTATTTATAGCTGTAGACTTCAATTTGCAATCCCTAAAACGGCTAAAACTATTGTTTTTTTGGATTTTTTTTTATTTCTACATAGAGAAAGAATCTGTACCCAAGTTCGGAAATTATCTCCAAGCCAAGAGTATAATTTAAATAGGGATAATAGCTGCTGTGTCTGCTCGTTCACACGAACGACGAGCGTCCATGTTCGGAACAGTGCAATGGCAATGTGTTCCGAGTGATCGAATTGATTGATTTGACAAGTAATAAACAAATTTGATAGATTTCACTCTAGTCATTCAGAGTGTTTCGTTTGCGCGGCGGAACAGTCGTCCCGAACTCACCCGGAGTAGATAAATGGAACTCACTCCAAAAATTTCACCTAGGAAAACGATTTTTAAAGAGTAAAACTTTCGGTCGGAGTGCGTATGGAGCATTAGGAGTGCACGGAGTAGGCAAGCCGAACAGCTTTGAGGTTGCTTGAGTTTGAAGTAAAAGTCACAAGAGAAAATGCACTCGAATTGACTTGAAGTGAGAACATAGAGAAGTGAGAATAAATTAATGGATAACAAAAATTTTGTTTGTTTTTATTCAATATTTTTCGACCAAAATCAACATGACAGAGGGACAAAATGATGTTAACAATACGGAATTACTAGACGAAAATGTTTGGGAAGGATTCAGCAAATGGTTACATTGCATTTGTGTGGTAACTTTTGATTTGGAATTGGGACAAGCACTAGAGGTACTTTCCATGTTTTGCTAATTTTCACATTTTATCAGTATTTTTTCATTTTCTATACAAAACTTATCCAGATAAATGCTAGCGATTTTTCCATACACCTCATATGTATTGCCAATTTAATTATTAATTGTTTATATTCCAAAAATCTTTCGTTACCATGTTTTTATTACATATGTTTTTATGCAAACCTTTCCAACCAAACCTATCGAACAGCAAAAATTCGAAATTCTATAGCAATTACAAATAGCAATGATATTAAAACTATTACAACGGAACAGTGTTTGGTTAGCTTTTAGCTTTTCCAATCGTTGTCATTTTTCAAACTATAATTGGCCTATTGGTTGCTCCTATGTTCCTCGTTTCTTCCTTTAGCACTAATATGTATTTATTCCAGATAAAATATCCCAAGCATGTAGAACTCACCGATCAAGAAATATCCAACATTTGTTATTCAGCATTTCCAGATTCAAATTCAGGATGTATGGGAGATACCCAATTTGTCATTAGACTGCCCTGTAAAAGTAAAAGAGAACTTAGATCTGAACACATCAATTATAATAATAATTGTCCTCCAGCATTAAGAATAGATGAAGGCTATATATGGGGGTATGTCTATTTTAGACAAGTTAGGGATATCAACTTACCTAGAGGATACTTTCAAAAGGTAATTTTTATTTGCTGATTTTTTTTTTGCAGGCCCAACTTGCAAGTGAATAACAGATTATATTGTTTTAGAGTGTTGTTGTTCTATCCTATCTACCATTCAATAATCTATTCAACAAAATATGCAGCTATGTTGCACCCGAATATTTTGAACATGGTATGAAGTGCTTAGAAGCCATTTGTCATAATATAGAAAGATGGCCACCCCCAAACCCTGGAGTGAATATTGGGTTACCCATTTTAGGGCATGTTTTTCAGGTGAACATATTTTCAAATCCATTCCAATTATTTTCAACTAGTTGATAGGCCTGTCTCTGCCAGCAATGTAAATAAAATTGTTTCTTACATTAACAGAAGATCATTTAAAGAAAGAAAAAAAATCCATTAAAAAAACTATAAATACACAAACCTCTGTGCGGAGAACATGGATGGTTGGAGTTCGCTAAAACTCATTTTTTGCCTCTATCTTTTTTTTTCTCGAACTTGAAAAATCTGGCTCCGTTAGGTTCTAGCCAGTATCCCAAAGAACAACTATTCCAAATTTGAGAATTCTAGCTCAAGTAATTACGTCAAATGGCGTGGAAATTATACTCCTGGACAAAATTATCGCACCACTGCACATAAGCATCACCATAAGCAGTGGTGCGATAATTTTGTCCAGGAGTACATATACAGGGCTTTCATTTCAAAACTTGCCACCCACATCTGAATAAAGAGGCATATTTGTGGAAATCTCCGGAACACGTCAACAAATTTATTGTGGGGGAAGGTTGTTTACGTGAAACTGGACTTCCTTTGTTCAACCCTCTAACCCCCAGGGCTACCACCCCAAAATTTTCAAATGAGACAAGGGGTCGAGTAATAGACCATTTTAAAGGGCTGTTTAACCTGTACATTTTGCCGTCCTATTTTTTAAATTTGCTCTCAGTGTTGCAGAATAACACCCATTTTAATGTTCAAAAATGCCTATTTATCCTTAAAAACACACCTGCTTGTTTACCTGTTGCTGTAACAAAAAGGTAGGCAAAGGCAAAGAAGCAGGTGTGTTTAAAGATTTTTTTTTCTCTTTACAATCTCTCATACACATTCCTTGTCTGTTTATACTACCATTTTTTATATCAGATAAGAAGGCAAGAAATTAGAATATCGAGAGTTTTCGCAGGGACCGGTTATTCTACAAAAATAAACCAAAATATTGATTCAACATGCCTCTTTCACAATCATCTTCATGGTGTTATAAGTGCAGCAGCTCATGTAAACTACGTGAAGATAAAAGCGAATTGTTCGGGTTTCCTTCCGATTCTTGCAAGCAAGTTATCTGCAAAAATTGCGCTGGGCTATTGGCATCCGAAATTCGTTGCCTTCCTATGTCGTCATGCTTCTGTTCTGGTGTCCAGACTGTATCGATGATTTAAGGGGCGCGGCAAACTTGAAAAAGCGGGTCGACGATTTGGGCTCGGAAACAAAAAAGTTACAGAGGAAAATCACATCAGAATTTGAAAATCAAGCTAAAGATATTGCTTCTGCCGTCGAAAATTTCGAGAAATTTAAACTTGATGTGAACAAGGATATTGATGAACTAAAGGGTCTTAAATCTCTCGTCTCTGAAGTGGATGGTATGAAAAAGACATATGCTGATATTGCAGGACGAAATACAACTACACCAAGTCAAAATCCTTCCCCTACTCAGTCGTCAAGTTCTGATGATATCCTTAATGAACTACAAGATCGGCAAAAACGCGCAAACAACATTATGATCTTTAACATGACAGCAAATAATGACGATGTTACTGATACTCAAACCTTGTTTGCTCAAACTCTGGACGCCACAGTTAATATTATTAGCACAACTAGGATTGGTAGGGGCAATAAGAACAACAATAGGCCTCTAAAAGTTGTGCTCTCCTCTTCACTGGAAGCTCAGTCTATTCTACATAACCGACAAAAGTTTAAAGGCAAGGATATATTTATTGAAGCCGACCTTACTCATCAACAACGTGCTGTTGAAAAAAAGGCCCACGACGAGTTGAGAGAGCGCACATCAAACGGCGAAAATAATCTCACAATTAAATATATCAGAGGTGCTCCTACAGTGATCAAGAAAAAAAACTAGATACTTGCAATTTTCTTTGTTTATACCAGAATGTGCGGGGACTGAATAGTAAAACTTTCAATTTTTATAGTTCGGTTGCAGCTAGCAGTATGGACATAATAGCAATCACAGAAACATGGTTAAAACCAGAAGTAGCAAACTCAGAACTGTTTACTGAATTTTACAATGTTTACCGCTCTGACCCCAATTTCAATCAACTTAATGTTTCTAAGGGAGGAGGTGTTTTGGTAGGCGTATCTAATGAATATATGTCTCAGTCTGTTCCTTTGCCTGACCTTGAAGGCCTTGTCCCTGAAATTGACATTGTATGTTGTAAAATCATTGTAAGCCACTATACTCTTTATGTTTTAGTCTTATATATTCCACCATCTGTACACATTAATCATCTCGAATTATTCTTTGACAATTTATCCCTACTCAATATCATACATAAGGAATGTACTCATAATGGGTGACTTTAATATACCAGCGTATGTCAGTAATGACCAAAGAGACTCCAAGAATTTATTACTTAAAAATTTTCTAACTTTATCTAACCTCAAGCAGTACAATAATATATTAAACGTAAATAATCGTTTATTAGACCTCGTTATATCAAACGTTAAGTGCACTATTGAGAAAAATGACGTACCTCTTGTTACTGAAGACCCAAATCACCCCTGTATTCTTACTAAATTCAGCACAACAGTCGATCAGGTTCATAACTTTCAATTAAACCCCAATCCTCCCAAGGAATTTAATTTCAGAAAAGCTAATTTTCAAATAATGTATGAGCTAATCCTCCATGCAGACTGGTCAGAAGTATATACTTCCGCAACTGTCGACAAAGCTTGTTCTACCCTTTATAAAATATTGGAAAATATTTTTGAAAGCTGTGTTCCTCTCAAAATCAAGCATACTGGTAGGTTTCCATCATTTTACCCAAAAAACCTTATAGATAATATCCGTAAAAAGGAAAAGGCTCGCAAGAACTATTCAAAATTTGGAAATAACATTTACAAAGAGCAATTTAACTCCTTGAGAAGGCTAGTAAAGACACAAATAGATCAAGCTTTTAAAGACCACATAAAAACTACTGAAGAAGCTATAAAAACCGATCCCACGAACTTCTGGTCATTTGTTCAAAGTAAAAAAGGACAGTCTAGAATACCGGGTCTAATGAAGTCTAACGGTCAGGAGTTTTCTAATGGTCAGGACATAGTAAATGCTTTTGCTAATTTTTTTCAATGCGTATATGTTGCCTCTACTCCTGACTTAAATTACACTGTTTATGAGAATAATGACTCCATTATCAACTTTTCAGAAATTGATACGTCAGATATCATTGATGCAAGTAAGAAGTTGAAAAATAAGCTTACCTCTGGCCCAGATCAAATTCCTAGCTTCCTTGTAAAAGACTGCATCGGTATACTAGCGGACCCTCTACTCTATTTGTTTAATTTAGTTATAAAAACTAGTACCTTCCCTGCTGTCTGGAAAACAGCGAAAATCACCCCGATGTTTAAATCTGGTGACTCATCTTGCATAAACAATTATCGCCCAATCTCAATTTTATGCAATTTTTCTAAAATTTTTGAAATAATAATGTACAACAAAATATATCCGCCTATAAGGATAAACTTTCAGTCCATCAGCATGGATTTATAGACGGTAGATCGTGTATCTCTAATCTGGCATTATTGTCTCAAAAAATAAGCACGTATTTGGATAGTCGTGGGCAGGTAGACATTGTCTACACGGACTTCCAAAAAGCATTTTATCGTATCGACCACTACTGTTTGTTATCTAAGCTTAAATCTGTTGGAATGTCTGATCGTCTTGTTAGCCTGTTGAGATCATACCTGTTGGATAGGACTCAATTTATAGATCATGAGGGATTTAGATCACCAGCGTTTAGCTCAAGTTCAGGTGTGCCACAAGGTTCGAACCTAGCACCACTGCTGTTTAATATATTTATCAATGACCTTCTTGATTCACTCTCTTGTTTTAAGCTGGCTTATGCTGATGATCTAAAGATCGGCGTGTCTGTGGTCTCAATGAATGATTGTCACATTTTACAACATAATTTAAATACTTTGAATGCTTGGTGTGATAGAAACAAATTGTACCTTAACGTTTCTAAATGTAATATAGTCAGTTTTCATCGGATTAAGGAGCCTGTAATGTTTGACTACACCATTGGGGACTCTGCTTAATAGGCTTGATGAGATTAAAGATCTTGGTATCATATTTGATTACCAGCTTACATTTAATTCACATATTCATAATGTCTCAACTAGTTCATCCAAGGTGCTCGGCTTTATCATTAGAAATAGTAAATATTTTACTAATCCAAGTACGCTTAGGCTTCTATACTATACCTTTGTTCGGTCAAAACTTGATTACGGCTCCATACTATGGAACCCAATATATAATTTTTACGCCAATGCAGCCGAGTCTATTCAGAGGCGTTTTCTTAAGTACCTCCATTTCAAAAGACATGGTTTCTATCCCGATAGAGGTTTTGACCATACTGCGTTACTTTTGGAGTTTGATGAAGTGTCTTTGGCTCAGAGACGAAGGCTCCAAGCTGTCAAGTTTCTGTATAACCTCTTGCATGGTAAAATAGACTGTCCAAATCTTATTGAGAGCATTTATTACAGGGTCCCCAGGCTGGTGGGTAGGTATAATGAGACATTTTATTTGCACACTGCCAGAACCAACATGTTATACAGAAGTCCTTTATATTTTATGTGCAGAGTTTTTAATGAGGTTTCTGGAGACTGTGACATGAATGTCGATTCTATACAATCAATAATTCAGGCTGTACTGAATGTTTGGATTTTTGCTTGACTTGCTTACCTTCTTTTTTTTTTTTTTTGTTACAATTGTTACACTATACTTTGATTTTGTTTGTTATCCTGCCTTAATTATAGTTTACTCGCATCTACTTGAACACCATTTTTGTGTCTACCTGCTCTATTTTTTGTTTTTTTATTTTGTTTTTTTACTTTATAGATTTGTTTGTTTGTTATTTTTATTTATTTAATTTTTTTGTACTTTTTCCTGTAATTGGGATTATTCCTGTTGGAAATAAAGACTTATTTATTTATTTATTTATTTAATAGGCATTTTCAAACATTGAAATGAAGTGTTATTCTGCAACACTGGGGTCAAATTCGAAGAAATATGACTGCAAATGTACAGATTAAACAGCCCTTTAAAATGATCCTATCACTTGACCCCCTGTCTCATTAAAAATTTTGGGGTGGTAGGGGTTAAAGGGTCGAAGGAAGGAAGTCCAGTTTCACGTAAAAAACCTTCCCCCCCCCCCCCCCAATAAATTTGCTAACGGCGATTTCCACAAATATGCCTCTTTACGCAGATGGATGGCAAGTTTTGAAATGAAAGCCCAGTATGTAGATTCTTTATAAAGGGTATTCAACTTTAATATTATAAACATAAACATGTTGTAATCATGTGGTTCATTTTTTGTAGCATTTTCTAGTGACATTGAAATTGGTCAACAGAACATTGACCTTAATTTACCAATAGTTTGTAATTTTATAATGTAAACTTTAGCAAAGTTTTGAAAAAAAAAATTCCAAGGCTCTCATATGGACTTTTTCATATTAGCAGGACAATAATTGCTATATAGAAACTTTCAATATGCCAGTAAAGTTTATTGCAGAAAGTTACCCTGCATTTATGTACAAATTTAGAACTACAAAGTACCATTAATCTTGAATGGGTCACATATTAATTTCAGACCAATCAGAGCTAGCATTTACGTTCACAATTGTCCAAACGCATCATCTGGAAGCAGATTTCAAGTTTATTCGCATTGAAAGATACAGCTTATATGTTGTTATTCAACTTTATGCATGAGTTCATGCAGTTTTTCCAACATCTGCATTTTTTTGAATTGACGAGAATCCGCATTTCATTCTCTGGAAAATATCAAAACATACATTGTCTCAGACTATAAGCCCTACACTCAGTTTCAACATTTAAACGATAAAATGCCATAAATAATTTTGTTAAATCAAATTATTTAAGTCCTAAATAGCCTCTGTAAAATACCTGATAATTTACACTTGAGAAGTTTTATGGATTTTGAAGTAATAAAAAAATGGTTATAGGTATGTATATATTCATATATTTCTAAATTTAAGACATGTATACCTATCAACTCAGTACGTGGGAAAGATTCAGCAGAAAATAAACTTTTAACTCAAGTAGAGCAATTGAACTTTTTTGAAGTGTTTAAGCCAGTTTTATCTCATATACATTTATTATGGGAGCTTGTTATAACTTCTGAGCCTATTATCGTCATGGCTTCGTCTCCAGCTAATTGTTCTAAAATGGTTTTAGCTTTAACTAGGTAATTACTTATTGATTATACAGGATCTGCGGAATAATACTAATTATTGGTTTTTAAGGCTTATTTCACCTCTTCAATTTTGTGGAGATTACCGACCTTACTTCACAATACATGATAGTGAATTTAAGCAATACAAACAATATAGTAGTAAAGAACAATTTCCACGTTTTCCTCCGCCCGTGATATTGGGAGTGACTAATCCATTTTTTGCCAAAACCTTCCACAACTGGCCACATACCATTATACTAAACGACGATGTTGGTGAGTACACGAATTCGCATTTAAAAATAATGCATAATTCAAATATTATAGGTCAAAATTCAAAGTACAAATTAAGAAAACCGGCCCTAACGAAGATGATAGAGGTTTCATCAGGGATTTATAGTTCATACAAACCGTTCCTGCAAAAAGATAAAAATATTATCAAGAAACTTATGACTGGAGTTAGCTCAAATAGACCTGATGAAGCTCAATCTGCATTGTTAAGAAAACATTTGAATGAGTTGACTCACAGTTTCATGTACCCTTTGGAAAGATATATTGCAAGTTTGATGCCTTTGAAAAAAGACATCTCTGCATTTAAGGTAATCATCTCGGTAATAATGAATTGCATCTAATGAAAATTGATTTTGTCGATTTTGACCAATGTAAAAAAAAAACAGGTTCTAATTTCTTTCAATTATCTGAAAATGTATGTCAAACTCTGAACTTGTTTTCATTCAGTTATGCGTAGTTTTTGCTAGTTTATTACTTTGTATAGTGTATTTTTTTGAAAACTTTCTTCATATTTTTTTTTACACAAAATGTTGATGCATTTTTTCAATTGTATTCAGGCACCGCCAATTCCAAGCCCATTCAATCCAGAAAACTTTTTCACAACATTGGATACAGGAGGACCTCAACTGACTCTTAAAAATACCAACATAAAAGGTGATTGGATAGGCCTTTACAGAAAATTCTTTAGGTCGAGGAATTTTAATTCTTGGTACAACTCGAGATATAGGGAATTATCACAGAAACTACAGGCTCTTCATACAGAAGCTTTGTCAAATGCAGTAAGTGACAAATTAAAATTTTTAGTTCCCAAATTTATAAGTAGAAATGTTTTTGCATATTTCTAATAAAAATTCTATGGATTCTTAGAAATGTTCCATTTAGGGTTCTGCAAGACTGTAAAAGTATTATTTTTATGAAACTGATAGAGATTCAAGTATAAATATTTTCATTAGTATTTCAGTCAGAATTAATATTCAGCCATTGTTTCATGTTTATCTATAACTTAACAAAGTCCATTTGTTCTGTTCTGATGCCTGAAAAGTTACTGAGTAGAAAGTAGGTATTCAATATGCTCATTTAAATTTATGAGACGAGAGCGAGAGGTACAGGGAACAAAGGAATCAGTTGCATAATTAGTCCAATATTATTATTCTGCTGCAATTCTTTATTTTGACATTTGATCCTTTCTAGGATTTGAAAAATTGGGTACAAGATCGTCCAGAGGTTGAAGTGGTAGACATGATCCTTAGAATCAAAAATAAAATTGGAGAATGTGACAGTCACATCCAAGTGAACGATACTGTGAAACAACAGCTGAATCAGAGAATGCAAGACGTAGTAACATCACTTCCAGACGACTTGAAAAACATTTTAAAAGTTTCATGATACTGGTTTAAAGAGGCTGGACATTTTAGTATTTCTGTTTAATTTGCATAATAAGGTTATTGTTTTTTGGTAAAATTGAAATAGACAGCCATTGATGTTCAATGTAACGAAATGATTATTTCACCTCTCAAATTCCTGTTGAAACGTTTGCCATTTGCCAGTGTATAATTAATTAGTATTTCAGAATGTATTATCTAAAAACTAAAAAAAATGTTGCTTGAAAATTTGGTTGAAAAATGGTTGTTATTACTGAATTTTTGTGGTAATAATTATTAATACTCAAATGTTTTTAAAAATGTTTATATTTTTTTACGAATACAATAAAAATTGTTGATTTATGCAAGTAAATAAGTTTTTATATAAATATGTTAAATATATATTTTACATTAACCTGTCATTGATCAATCATCAATATCAATAATAAACGCGTATTTTTTTTTAAAAAAAACTGCCTTTTAATTGGATCATAAAAGCTTCCCTACCTTAATATAAAAATTCTTTTGTCAAAAAGTGAAGAAAGTATTCTTTTGAAAATGAGGGAATCATTTTTGCCCCCCACTATTATATCAATAAACATTTGCTGTGAGTCTTGTTTGGGTCAGAATGAGAAAAATCTCTTTGTCTCACACTTATAAATTGCTTTTTATCAAATAGTTAATGCTCTACATGCATACATGAACAATAGCAGGGGTCTAGTCTAGGTAAAATCCTCACTGACTCTGTTTCCTCATTGTGGAACCAAAGAAATTGTATTTAAGTTTCATAAAGGATTTAGATTTCTCTGGCAGCTTCAAGCTTGATGGAATTTACTTAGCAATAGTATAATGTATCTGCCATATCATTTATTTTATTATCAAGCATGTATCGCTGTTGGAATAGAGCATTGGCTTTGGATGCTAATTCAGGTCGCATTGGTTCTGGGAAAACTTTCTCTATGTCTTTATCCTCATCTTGGGCGTGCGTCACTACGTAGCTGTTGTAGAGTTCCAATATCTGAAAAATTAAATTTTGTAAGTCAGAATACTTTCAACACCAGTTAGAAATTTAACAGCGTTATTTTTATTCATCTATCATAAATACATTAAGTTTTTACCTGCTTGTCAACAGTATTCAACTCATTCTGTAACTCATTAAACTCTATATTCTTCACAACAGCGGAACGTAGTTTTTTCAGTTCAACAACATTGTGAGCATTAATTGTTAACAATTCTTCTTTGCATTTTTTAATTTCTTTTATGATATCGTCATCTTCTGGACCCTGTAACAAGGAATCTTAATAACAATAGAGAATGAAACAAACTCAAAGGCTGGAAATTTAGGAAGAGTCTTACTAACCTTCTCAACATCATTTTTTGTTAATATCCCTTCTTCAAATAACACCTTCTCTAACCTTTTACCCAAAGAAGCAGCAACTTTGGGACAACCATCGTAACCATCATGGCTGGTTGGATCAGCATCTGGAAATGTTTTTTTTTAGTGTTTTATACTATACAGGGTGATAATGTGGAAAGTAGCAATCGGGAATATCTCTTAGACAAAAAATTCTATCAGGAAGATCTCAAATACGTATCGGGGGATTGGATGGGGAACCAAAATGAGGCACTTTTTGAGTCGCCCCGCCTCACCCCTTAGGAGGAAGCTACCCTAACTTATTTTTTTTAAATACGAAACTACCTTGTGTTGTACACTTCGATAGCTCGTTACTATCCCTTCACAGTCACATAGCGAAATCTTAAATCGGACGATTAGTTTTTGAGATATCGGTGTTTGAAAGTCAGCATGTTTTGAAAACTAGAGTTTACAATGTGCTTACTTTTAAACACCGATATCTCAAGAACTAATCTTACGATTTAAGATTTTTCTATAGGACTGCAAGGTAATAGCAAGGAGCTATCCAACGATGTGCAACACAAGGTAGGTTGGTATTAAAAAAAAATAAGTTGGGGTAGCTACTCCCTAACTCTATAAGCTCTAGGCTATAGGAAATATCTGTGCAATCTTTGCAATATGAATCTTGAGCATCCATCGCAAGGCGCACAGGAGAGGAATATCTTTTTTTCCTTCACTACATAAATATGATTGCATTTTATAAAAGATAAATATTTTTAATTCACCTTTGGTAGTTTTAATTTCATCTGATTTGGCGTGGGCTTTTCCAGTTTCAGTACAACTTGTGGTTTCAGCTTCAGCTTCAGCTGCTTTTAATGCTTTATCATAAATTGTTGCTGCCAATAACCTTTCAGTGGTTTTACCGCCCAGTTTTTCAATGATACTAGAAATATTGAATCAATAACAGTTTTTTAATTTACGAATATTTTACCTCACAGTATCTTGTTCTTTAGTATCTTGAATTTTTTTAATGATCAATGTGCAGAAATTTTCTTCATCATCCATGAGCTCATCTGACCATGATTTTGTAAAATATTCACCAACTTCAGGAATAATAGAATCGTTAGGTTGTGCGTTTTCTTGTTCTTGTATAAATGTGTCCAAAAACTAAAAATCTAAATAGGTAGGTACCTGCCTGAAACAAATCACTTGCCTGAATTAGTAACTTACAGCCAAATTATCTTTACCAACTGGAGCACAATAAGGTTCAACTGTAGACCAAAACTTTTCAAAATTGCTATATCTTGGCACCTTAATTTTTGGAGTATCTTCATAGTATGCATATTCATTTGGTCTTGTTTTTGGAACTCTGAGTCCATGTTTCAATTCTTTGTATTCAGGCCTTTTTGTTTTCCCAGTTTTCTAAAACGAATAATTTTAATTTAAACTCGAAAATTGATAATAATATGTTATCTTACATTGTCATTTGCCTTTTTGTCATCATTATCTGCTTGTGTGTATTGGCCCAAAAAGAATCGAGTTCTCAGAGCATTGGTGGTTAATAATTTTTCCAAATCATACTGCAGCAGATCCAAATCATCTATCCCCACTAATTCTTCACCATTATTGCATAGGACTAAAATGAACTTTTTTTTGAAATTGATAAGAGCAAAGAATATTATTACAATAGCAGTTTACTTGTTGCGTTGCTAGCGGCGGAATTAATGAAAAATGAATAAATGTAGAAAAGTTTGTATGCCTGCTGGAGGTTAACGAAATGCTTTATTGTGCCTGCCTGGTGCTGGTTCAAAAGTAGATACTCAACCATGCTCTATACGCTCTAAAAATTCGAGTGATTGTTACATACATAAGAAAACAAATAATTTTTATCTTGAAGAAGGGATGAGAAGGAATAGCGATGGGGGGCAATATTTGTGGGCTGGCCCCTACAAAACAGAAGTACCTTTATTTCTTCCCACCCAGTTAAAATTTGAAAAAATGTCGAAAGGCATGTTTGCTACAGATGCATCCATCAAAGGAGTCTACAGATAAACTTTCATACCTCTAATGCATTTTGTTTTTGAGACAGAAAATCCTTTTACATTTTAATTCTTATTTTTACTGCTTTAGAGTTATAATTTTTTTTCAATCGTTTTTAGTGGGGGCCTAGTTATATCACAAATTTATTTGTAAATGATATTTATAGAATTTCAACCAGAACAACCATTGGTATCTCGATTAGTATGTACAATCCTTAGGTACCGCTTCTATAGTATTTGAACAAGTTACCAGTTAACATAAAGAACAGTGCCATGATTTGAGAGTCAAGTTTGATAAGATACAAGACACATTTAATGATTTTCATGAGAAAAAAGTAGGTATTATTGCATATATGGAAGAAACAGAAAGATTTATTAGCAGCAATCGGCAATCAAATAATATATAGATGTATGCACTTACTACATGTATACATCGGTAGTAGCTCAGCATTATCCTCTTGTTTAATAACGGGAACGTTATCAAAGTCCTCTAGATCTGATTCAGGGTCGAATTCTGGGTCTTCTGTGCTAGATGAAGGGGAAGTTGAACCATCAAGTTTTTCAGTGTAATGTTCAACACTTATAGATGATGCTGGAGAACTTGAAGTCATTTTGTATGGTCACAGCTTACTAGTCTGAGGTGAGGGAATCAGTTGTTTAACTCGGCGTCGGCACGGCAGCATGCCTTTGATCCCAGAATTGAACACAACAAACAATAACCAACAACTTGGAATTGATGGAAATTTGTTTATGCTGGGGTGCGTTCAAGGACAGCAATAGTTGTATTCCTTTCACACCTAGGACGAGCTCCGGGGCTTCACGCGCTTATTCCTTTCGAAAAGTGTTTGTTGCACCACGCATCTGTTCCTTGCAAATCGGGGGCTACTAAACACCGCAGCGAGTAGCTCGAGTGTTTCAAACTCTTGAAAGGAATACAACTAATGCTAATGCCAAAACCTACTTTTCCCCCTCCCCCGGGGTGCGTTCAAAGACGGCAATGCTAATGCCAAAACCTACTTTTCCCCCTCCACCGGTAATGCCGAACCACGTAGGTCGGAGCCGAACTCGAACGCAAAATGCCAATTTTGGCTTGGCTGTAGCCATTCCTGAACGCAGCACCGGTAATGCCGAACCACGTAGGTTGAAGCCGAATTCGAACGCAAAATGCCAATTTTGGCTTGGCTGTAGCCATTCCTGAACGCAGCCCTGCAATGCTCTCGCTGTTGCCCGTTGCCGTCAAAATGTGAACTTGGATGCTGGCTGTAGAGTAGAACTGAGCCTTACTTGGAGCACAGATTTTAAAAAGCTTTCTTAGTGGAGTTACTCCGAACGAATTGCTCCGGAGCTCGTGACACTTGAAAGAAAAGCGGTTGAGCGCAGAAGCGCGTTCATAAATATAGGGTAAGGGCGAGGTGAGCAGGGGTGAGTTCAGGATTAGGAATGACACACCCAGTGTGAGCGTGACACCGGTGCGACGCCCTAGCTGTTCAAAATTGCTAGACGGTGCTATGGGCCCAATGGCCAATTGTCAATTCAGGCACACCCATAAAATCGCTCTCGCACCCAGTGCGTTATTTCTGAACTCGGCCCTGATCTACCGTCACATATTTACCCTGGAGGCCACACCAGGGCCGAGTTCAGACATAAGGCACAGGGTGCGAGTGCGATTTTATGGGTGTGCCTGAATTGACAATTGGCCATTGGGTCCATACCACCGTCTAGCATTTTTGAACAGCTAGGGCGTCGCACCGGTGTCACACTCACACTGGGTGTGTCATTCCTGAACTCGCCCCAGGGTAAATCTATTGGGTGTGGCCAACAAAAAATAGCCCCGACAGTTTCTGAACTCATGTGTCCAATATTAGGTTTGTTCTGAAAGATGCTTTGCTTATTGGAACTATCTGTTTCAAGACTTTCATTCGCAATTCCGACAAATCCTTTGTTCGAACCATCGGTTTTGATCTGTTCCAGGACCGTCTGCGCAGTATTGGGTTATTTTTTTTCTGGAATGACATTTCCCATGCCGATGTTTCTTTTTACTAGAGGTAGCGATAGTGGTCGAAAACTCACTATCGATAGTTTCGATAGCGTTAACATCCAATATCGATACTATCGATAGTTTTTTTTACGTTTCAGTTTGCATATTTGTATGCTGTCAACGTCAACTGTCAGTTTAAAGATTTAAATAAAGAGTAAAGATTTTGCTCGGAGTGGACTGGGATTGGGTGCACACGGACTCCGGACTGCTTCGGAGTCATTAGTTTGGATCTGGTCATATGAATTTGCATTAGTAAATTAAATCGGAATGCCTGGTTCAGAAAAGTGATGAACTTTATTGGGATCAATGAACTATAGCTAAAAACTGGAATGCGCACACATTGCCATATCTGCCAAAAAAATTAAGCCATGAAATACAGATGCCACAAGGGGGAATGTTGTTTTTTTCTGTTGCTCGCTGACATATGACGTTTTCGAAAGTTTTGTCATATTTCCCTTCACAGGTTCCATCAATTGGAATACGTGTTGGAAGCAATTTTCGCCATTTAACATAATGAGTGCGACAAAAACAGGTATCCCCTCCGCAGCACCCCCACTAGGCTTCACGTTCGTCCTTATGTGTTTGCATTCCAGTTTTTGGTTATAGCTCTTTGATTGGGATAAATGCACTATCGACTATCGATGGGGCCACTATCGACTATCGATGGGGGCCACTATCGATGTTTTCGATTGTTCCATACAATGAACTATAACCAAAAACTGGAATGCTAACACATAAGGACGAACGTGAAGCCTAGTGCGGCTGCTGCGGAGGGGATACCTGTTTTTGTCGCACTCATTATGTTAAATAGCGAAAATTGCTTCCAACACGTATTCCAATTGATGAAACCTGTGAAGGGAAATATGACAAAACTTTCGAAAACGTCATATGTCAGCGAGCAACAGAAAAAAACAACATTCCCCGTTGTGGCATCTGTCTTTCATGGCTTCATTTTTTTGGCAGATAGGTATGGCACTGTGTGCGCATTCCAGTTTTTAGCTCTAGTTCATTGGTTCCATATTTCTAAGAAATATCGATACTATCGATAAACTATCGATAACATCGCTACCTCTACACTTTACGGACCGTCGCGTCGTAATCTGTCGCTGTCGTGGCAGTCGTACCCGTACCACTCGTACCACATACGTGATACGTGCACGGTGTACAACACCACGTGTTTAGCGTTTTTAAATTTAAAATTTCGATTTCCCTTTTAAGAATGTTTTCTGTCCTGTCCAGGTAAGTCTAAAGATGGGATAAATAAATAGACATATATCTAGGCAACTTAAATGCTACTAGTTAGGTTATTGGTTATTCTCTCAGTGTACACTCTCATAGAATATTATTGTGATTTTATATCAATGATGTAGAATATTTCATGCAACATGTGCTCCAAAGCCTTTGAACCTACTGCTTTCAAACTTGCAGAAATATGCAACATCAACTACACTACCACAGAAAAATAGAAATTATTGAGAATGTTATAAACTAAGCTGGAAATAACGAAATAGAATAAGGGCGGGTATTATAAAACCGCTTTGACAGTTAACTTTTTGAAATACGTGTAATTCCAGAAGTTAACTTTAAGTTAACTCTCAAAGTAGTTTTATAATACCCGCCCTAAGCTGGCTCCAGTGACTGAATAAGTCATCGATGATGTTGAAATGCTAGAATAGTAATGAGTAATATGACGGTGGCAACGATGAAATGGAGTTTATGGCCGTTTCCACCAACTATTTTAGGGGAGCCCTAACGATAAGTATTCCCTAAAATGACATATTTTACATGGAGAAATGTCAGTTGAAAGCATTCCTATCGTTAGGACTTCCCTAAAATAGTTGGTGGAAATGGCCATTATAGGGTTGCCAGATTGAAATATCTACAAATCAGGTATACCAATCTAAAAGCTATTAAAAAATCGGGACTTTGAATAAAAATCGGGACGCTTTTTTTTGAAAGGAATCATTTGATATCAAAATTATACTGAACAATGAAATTTCTAATAAAATTTAAAAATAAACTGAGAAATGTTCCACAGAAAGAAAGAGAGGTCTATGTCAACACTGGACAAATTGGGGCTGAAATCTGGATAAAATGGAAAATATGAAACAATCCCAAACTAAATTAGGGTCAGTGTGCTAGTTTTCGACCAGTTAACTGAAACTTCCACTTCAAAACACGATAAAAATATGTCTAGTTAAAATATATTAATAAAACTAAGATTTTCTAAAAGTCTGAAGATTTGTGAATTTATATTTTATATATGTTTTTAATTTTTGTTTCATGAAATGTGTAATTTTAATAAAAATATGAAAAAAGTGCCATTTAGCTAGTTCTCGACCATTGGTCGCTAAAAAAGAAAATTAGCATTATGAAACAAAATTTTATTTTCTAAAGGGCAGTTTCTTATACAAAAAAAAAATAGGAACATAAGTTTACGAGAATAAACGGATTAATATCTTCGAAAAAACTTATAGGATTAAAAAAACAATAATAAATTCTCTTTTAATAAGGTACTACCTAGTACCTATAAAGACAAGTGCCTAAAACGTAAAAAAAATATATAAAAACAAAACAACTCAAAAGATAAAAATAAATAAATAAAAATCCATTACAAAAGGGAAGTTCTTATTAAAACTAAAATTGGAATATTTACAAATATGGAACTGCTAAAACTAGAAAGTTTCAGGCTAAGTACCATCGTCATCAAAAGTAACTGGAACAGCATCACCTCAGCTCTTGTCCTATTATATGAATTTTATTGTCAAATATTTGTCAAACTATGAATTAAATGCATTGAAATGAATGACAGTAGAATTAGTCCAGGAGATTATTATGCATTATTTGTGTCCCAGATACTTTTAATGACGATAGTACCTACCTACATACCCCTATTTTAAATTAACTAAAAATATGAAATGTTTAGATTTGATGAAATTAAATTAGCAGTACTGACTACATTTATAATCTTTAAACGGCGGCAATTACATAGGGAGTATCAACAAATTCGGTACACTTTTTGTGAAACTATTTTTCACAAAAGTCACAGCCGATGTTTTTCTTATCTCCATCCTCTGTGTCACTATAAAGATCTTCTTGGCATAATGAAGAGGATACTTTAGATTTGGAGGTAAGTTTTTGAGTATTTTTATTTTTTTTTTCTTTTTGAGAGTTTTCTGAACTTTTTTTTTTAATTATTTTCTTTTGTCATTTTCCATTTTTCTTTTTTTCGGCCTACTTACTTTTTTTTATGGATTTCGTCTTTCTTTTTATTATAGTAGGTAATCTCTCCATTTTTCAGAAGAAATTGCACTAGGGGTTTTCTCTCCTTTAGGTAAGTGAAGTTAAAAAAAATTATGTGGACGAAAACTAGATAAGAAGAAATTATTTAAATAAAATCATGTTGGTTCGGCGTCCAGAGTTTCTCATAAGAAAAACATGCTGGTCGAAAATCAGATCCATATTATTTGGATGTTCGACCACTTGAAACTACAGTGGACGAGAAATAGACTATAATAAGCTAGTTTCTCGACCACATAATTTTGCTAAATCTATATCCAATTTTCTTTGCAGTATTTAAAGGAAAAGTGGTGGTCGTAAACTAAAAAACAAAAATTATATTCAATATTCAACTAACAAATAAAAATAGAAAG